GATCAACAACGCGATGGACGTTAACGAACAACTTTGGAATGTTTTGTTGAAGTTATGAGCCGCTATATGCACGCTGGTCGACGTCAGCTTATATTCTCTAGGTGCTCGTCTCGGCCGAGTTATTTTTACTTTAGACTGCGCTCACAGCGCTGCGCGAGAATCTTCTTCTGTTAAGTGAGGGCAAACTTAAAAATCCCACCGCGTGCGTTCCTTTACAAGGAAAGCGCCTTAAAGATCCTCTTAACTGCATTTCGCAAAACCTAATGATATTACAAAGTTCTGAAAGAAACGAAGGCGGGCTTTAAAAACGCGCCCCGTTCGGCTGGAGCGAGCTAACGAGTCTGCTGCGATTTTTATCAACAGGCCTTAACGAGAATCGGAAACACCGAAACAAAACTTTCAGACAGATTTCAAATAGTAGTTACCGTTTATATCAGTTCCAACTGATAGCGTCGACGGGAAAGATTGTAAACAAAGCTATAAGGTAGCCATAAGATGGTTCGATAAAACTGCACTGCGGAGTAGTCATTAAATCGGTTCATTGATTGCTCAAGAACCTCGCTTCGATTTGGCAAAATAAAGAATTACAAGAATAAAATCATTTTGCATCTATAAATCTGATATTTTATGATATCTCCAGAAGTTCCATGATTTATTTCCTCAAAACAGATTCTTTATTATTCAGCGATTAAAACGTTGAAAAATGAGAAATTCTTGGGTGATTTTTGTGCATTTTTTATTTAACAATAAATATGCGAATAAAAATATTTGCTTCGATTATAGATTAATTTTTTATTACCAAAATTAAAACTTACAAATTTTTATAAAGATTATAGAATTTTATTTCGTCAAGTAGTTGAATTTAGGAATCGTTATTAATTCATTATGAATTACTTCATGATGAACTACATATATTCGTTCAAAATTCTATATATCGAGCGTTTTCATGTTGAACACATTTGTTGAATGGCATTTGTACAATTGTAAGATCAAGATTGAATTTAAAAGATAATAGTATGTAAAATAAACTTACTTTACATACTATTATCTTTTAAATTCAATCTCGATCTTACAATTTTACAATTGTCATTCAACAAATATGTTCAATATAAAAACGCTCGATATATAGAATTTTGAACGAATATATGTAGGCTAGTGTAGACATTAGAAATATATATATATCAATCTTGAATATTCTCGTGTATTTTGCGAATAAGAGTAATCATCGTAACGATTTACGTACAGTAGATTTATTTCATTGATTGTTCCGGCTGACAGATTTTTGCACGAAGAATTAGAAAAGCTACGTTGAATGCAATACGGCCAATCAACTGAGGATGCAAAACAAAAGTATCGACGGGTGACAAATTGAGCTACATATTATTGGATTTTGATTGTGTTATACGTCAGCGATTCCACGAAAATCATTCTGTAGGAAATGGGCTCTAATTTTTTTTTACGAGACACGTTAAACGATACGGCGATTTATAAAATTACACAATGCGCCTTTCAAGGCTGCACAATTTTGTGCGATATATAAAAGAAGCCCCGATATTCTAATATTACTCGTTTTAGAAAATAAAGGAGAAATATAACCAAAAAATCGAATAAAAATTATCCATAAAATAAAAATGCTAGAGATATTAAATTTTTGCATGGACATATAAAATTGAAATTTTTAAGTAATTTTATGGCTTATATATATCTTTAAAATTAAAATACTAGGAAAAATTGATATAAACATGTCAAAGTAATTTTTTTCTAAATTATGCAACTTGGACGTGTCGGTTTTTTTTCAATGCACAATTAAAAAATTTAACTAATTTGCATTTAATTAATTCAAAAAAGCTTAAATATCAAACATACCTGTATTTAAATATTTTATATCCTTAAAGAGAATTATATCCCCACATTGGTTTAAAACCAATTTCAGAACGTTGCGTGGACAAAATAATTTTCGAACCGCGTTTTATATCTTTATTAATAATAATCAGTCAGACGTATGTAATTATTGATTGAATAACTATGTGTAAATGATGTATCTTCTGTAATTCAAAAACATGTTATTTGTAACAAGCAAGTGACAATTTGTTGAAACACATCTCGTTTAGGTGGTTCCATATATTAAATGAAAATGGGCTTTATTCGGTTCTGGATACCACACGAGAGGTATCGATTTTATTATCCCCGCAGGTCTATATTCTGGCAGATGGCATGTGATTCACGCGGACATTAATGTACTACTAATCAGACTTATTGCTTGTCATTATTCGCAGACAAAGGATAATTTTATGAAACAATTAAATTAAGTTTAACTAATAAATGATTGCTGGACAATTTGTCTAATGGGAAAACTAATTGCCGGTTTAGAGAGATATATGATTCAATAATAAATTTAATAACTCCAAATTGATTTCTACGTACGTATTTGATCCTCTTTGTGTTTTGGAAAAATAAAATTGGAAAATTAAAAATGGCATTGTTTTTTTGGAAAAATCGCGGATTCTTTTATCAATTTGCAACGTTATATTTTTGGTGAGTAGTTTTTCGACGTTGATATTCTACTCATTTATTCCAATTCACGCGCCTATCCCGTTGTAACGTGCGCAAATTTACGTTTTACGTGATAAATATTTTAGAACACGAGACCGGTATACGGTTAACAACTAACATTTTATACGAGCGTGCCCATAAATAAAGCGAATAACAATTAATGCTTCATATGATTCGCACCGGTATAGAAGAATGATGGTACGTTGAAAATGGGCGGGCGTCGAAAAATTGAGTGGAAACGACAAAACGAATGTGCCAATAAAGTATCGTGTCGATTAATTTACGGGGTGGGAACCATATGCGTTCGGCGTGTATGCGATTTGTTAAATTAATTAACGTGTCAGGTATATATGCGGAAGGGAAATGTGATGGTTGATGATATTCCGAAATAATATATAATAATAACGATAATCGGCATTATTGATCGACGATTCGTAATTATCATATGTAATTATGCGGCCGAAGCATACCAAGCGACGATATCGAAGCTTCACGTGAAATCATTAATTAACGTTACATAATTATCACAGTCGTCATTCTACATGCTTTTGTGCATCTTATCGACCGACTGACCGACCAGCTCGGTTACTGGGTCGACAGTGCGAAACTCGCTTATGAAATTGGATAAGTTATAGCTTTCTCTCTCTCTCCCTCTCCAAGAAGTTAGTCTTTAATTATAGAAAGTTGAATCGAATTGGAAACGTGTAATAACTCGAATGTCGTGCGAAAAGTATTGAGTACATTGATATCGATGTAACGTTATAAACGAAATGTTTAATTTCTGCAATATGGCAAGTAAAAAGTAAAATTAGTCAAAATAAATAAAATCTGAAAACGGCTCTTAAATATATTACATAATTTCATAAGCTTGAAACTTTTTTAATTTAAACGTTCTTATATTCATTCAAAATACATTTGAAGCGAGTTTAGCTCTTTTTTAGATTTCTCAAATAAAAAAGATGAGATAGACTTCCAATGAGTATTAAATAAACAAACTACGTTAAAATATATATATATAAAAAAAAAAAAACAGAGTGACTTTCTTTTAATATAAATTGCAGTTTCCTGGATTTACAAGTTCTCTCTACAAAAGTCTTGGTTTCGCGTGACAAATGAAGCGTAACGAATTGTAAACGAAGTGGCAACTATTCGCGTAGCCAGAAAGGTCCGTTGTCTCTGATCGGCAATCTACCTGTGTAGATTTCCTTTGCGTTTTGCCTCGGGACAAGAACGGTGCGCGGTTTCGGCACGCCAATCGATAACGTGAAACGTTACGCTCTGGGGAAATAAAAGGACCGATCCCGCCATCGAGGCAAAGAGTACAACGGACACGGGATGTTAAGCCAGTCATTGTTTCAATCGGCGCTCCCGTAATTTTCCGAAACCGAAATTGGCAACGAACGAGTTAGTCTCGTTATTTGAAGGGCTGATACTCATCCCGCGCGTTTGCTTAAGATCCCGATTTGCCGATCGGTGATGGCCTGCGCGCGGACGTATCGATCAGCACCATTTAAAACTTTAAATTGGCAGGTAACGAGCGCCTTTTGTACCGGATAAACGTTAGTCTGAAATACGTTTCTCTCGCTATACATCGAAGCGGTAACAGCGCTGGCTTTTACCGAGAGCCAATTTGGCCGATTAGTGAAACTGGCATGAAGCACGTCGAAGTTGGTCGTAAAAATGTTACGCGAATGAGCATAACAAATCAATAGATTTGCTATTAGTACCGTGAATTTTGTGTTTTCGACTTCGCACTAGTAACAAGAAAGTCGTTTTATATTTTTAATGGCGTGACGTAAAAATAATTAAATTTAGAAGGAGTGAAGTTTACGTCAATATATATAATTTCTTGCTCTTTTTAACGCATGTTTTCTACATTATAAACATGTTACATATAGACACAATTGTACAATTTTTCACGCAGTGCTTCTTTGCACTTAGATATCCACTAAAGAATAATGTGTCAAAAGAAAATCACTTTAAAGAAATTGCATATACTTATATATTATATAATAAAATTTATATGTCGGTTTAAAATTACAGTTGGTCACGAGACAAACAATTATTTTTATTTCTATTTACTTGTTGTTTGCGCTTGTGTTATCAAAAGTTACTTCTAGATAAAAAGAAAATTGTATTCGTGAGATACGTGAATCTCTACATCGTTGTTTACTTTTAGATTGCTCGATTCTGACTGCACGTGCACACACACACACACACAAATATATATATATATATATATATATATATATATATATATATAATACGATATAATACGATCTGTTTTGTTATATTTCTAAATATAAATCAATTTTTAAAAATTTATTTTTCCATCTACCTTATATATATATATATACACATATATACAATATATATATATATATAAGGTAGATGGAAAAATAAATTTTATATATATATACACACAGATCGTGTGTGTGTGTGTATTTAAAGAAAATATATCTAATTATTAATGGAAAATATTTTCCATATATATATCCTCCAAAACGAATAAATCGCAAAGTTATCATTTAAATGCGATGTCTTATTATATAATTTTAAGAAATAGCAATCGACACTTTTTTCGCTGGGGCAAATCCCATTCGGTGTTCCTCAAAATCAAACACGGTATAATAACGGCCAATAAATATATCGCCTAAAATCCAATTATCAACAGTTTTATACGGTGCGAAGCCGCTTATACACACCGTGCCATGAACTGTTAGCATCTGTATAGATTGAAGCACACACAAAAAATGTAAGTTTTCTAAATTTAAATAATTTCCTAGCCAGAAATAATTGTCAAATTAACGTCGATTCGACAATAATTTCTGGGTTTAAATCTATTATAGGATCTACTATATATAATATTCACCTGTAAGATGTAATCCTGACTGATAAGATCAAACATTTTACCACCTATAACAAAACTGATTACTGGCATCTCAGCAGAGTCTCTCTTGCTGCAGTTTACCTTTAAACAAAAGAGAATATCAAATTAAGAAATAGCAACTCACAACACAAATATCAATTTATATTTTAGTAACTTTTTATAATTTTTCTACAGAAAGCTATGTCATTGCTATGTGAAAAGTATAATTGTTTACTTACTCTATACTCTCCATTAATGATACTAGCTCCAATAAGATCATTAATAAATGAGATGTTCGTAATTGGTCCATATATTAATGAGGTACTTGTATCAGCGATACCTTGATATAACGCGCGCATGGTAAAAGTGCGCGAGATATGAATGTCCTGTTGATGTATTGTGATCCTACAGCACAATAATAATATTAACAATTTGTTGCAACTATGATTATGAGAATAATTTAGAAAAAATAACGTACTCATTTATAATAAATTTCCAGTATCTTTTCTTAATAAAAGGAACATACGTCAACTCGCCTTCGTAATAAGCGGGATCGGTACCACCCAATATTATTTCACCACCGACCTCTGTCGACAAATTTCTGTGCAGGTTGTATATTTTTCATATTGTAATATATATATATATATATTTTTTTTTTTTTTTGTTAAAAACATTTTTAGACATACGCAATGTATGAAAAGAAAATTCATACTTATTCAAATAAATACTGAGAACGGCTGATGACACTAGGCCTTGTTTTATTGCATTGTAGAATACAGATCCTACTTCATTTATTCTAAAACCTATGCCCAAAATACCATCATATTGTCCAAAAATGAACATATCGCTTTGCTCTTGGTGTGCTTCCGCAAATGTTTGATTGTGAACACTGAGATTGGCAATCTAGAAATAAATTGGAATATTAATGATAAAATATCACGAGAATGGCAGTGTATAAAAATACTTGAAAAATGTTTATAAATTACGATTGTAGTTGATTAAATTGGCCTATTTGTTTAATGATTACTTACATTCACTACATCAGTAGATATAAATCCAGTCACCCAGCCACAGTTATATGGAATCACAATCGTAACATGCGTATCTGGATTTTGTACAAATGTACTGGATCTTCTACCATCATATTTCTTATGTATTACTGTAAAAAATAGAAAGTAATATCAAAAATTATCGCAATAGGGAAATTTAAAAAATAAAAAAATTTTTTAAATAATTGCTGAGGAAAAATTGTCTCCAAATAACAAGATCTACTTGTATATTTTCGGTGTGACACCTTATATCAAACACTCTGTATATATTAATAAATTACTTACAGCAAGCTGTGGTTGAATAGTTGCAGTATACGGATGGTACCCAAAGATTTAAAGAATCAGTATCAAGCACTACTTTAAATGTCTGCGGCGGAGTTCCGATATTAATAATACCATAATACTGAGCATCTACATATTTACATAAAGGCATTTCGATCGTAGAAATTATTGGAATATTAACGGCAATGTCAAATTTCTTCAAAACGTGTCGAATAGAATCCATCTTGTATAATAAAATCCTTGAAATAACATAAAGAACATTCTGTTTTATTTTACATATTTTACACAATATAAGTATTTTATGCATTAGTTATATCAGAAACATTTATTAACTTCGCGATTTTTCTAGATTATATGATTTATGCGTTTCATATATATTTGTAATAATATTCACTTTATGGTTATCGAAAATTATATGTAGAAAATAAAGTCATTATAACTTAAAAGACTTTGATTTTTAGAACAAAAACGTATTACATGTAATCTGGCACAAGATGTTATCAAATAGAATAATATTCTAAAAGCAGAATATATACAAAGAGCTGAGTAAACAAACAGTACAAAACAACGCATTGGTACTGAGAATTTATATGCTTACACGTAAAAAAATTACATATATTTATGTAAGTGTTTCTTTCTCGAATCATAATACGCACGTTAACGACAATTAAATGTAGACCAAAACTATAAGGTAGACAAACAAATTTTGCGAATTCACATAGAATCACTTTTCCTATAACATATTCTATGTCGCCATCTTTTTACTAATAAATAAAAATACAATTTTGTAAAATAATTTCGTCGAATCGTTATTATGAAACGTTAATTACGTTCACACAAGCTTTGCTTCAAATCCAAAAAATCAGATGCAATTACGAAAAAAAATCATCTCTACAATCTCAATATTTATCATATCATATAACGCAATGCAAGGTGTACTTACTTGTGTAATTGTGCGTCGATCATCACAAAGATCGCGATGATCAGCATAAAAATGCGAAACATGTTTGCGAATTTTCTTGCGATTGGAACTTCGAATCACGAAATTTTCAACGACAAATATGTATGACCAGACACACAGAAAAATAAAGCGTTGTCGATTACTAACACTCTTATACTAACCTTGTATCGATATTTTGGGGCTTATATATACGATCGCGAAGCGCTTATTGAATGCTTGAACGGGGAGAGATTGGTAACGACACACGAAGCATTTAAAAAGAATTTCGATAGAGATTTCTATTAAACAATTTAATTTAAACATATATTTTTGGTATGCTCCTTTAATTAATACAACGTGTATTTAGATAAATTATTAATAATTAAATAAAAAAGCAATCCTAGTGAGAAATAACAATAATATACATATATAATCTATGTAAAAATTTATATTGATGATATGTAAACTTTATATCAGTTGACGAAGGGAAAGATTGAATTTTTTTCTTAAAACTACAAATAAATCTTAGAAGATTGATGATAAAGTTTCGATAAAGTTTCACGCAATGTGATGTGATATGGTATTTTTTTACTTTAAATTTTTATTCCGATTTGGGATATAGCTGACTATCATCATTTTGAAAAATTTTAATTTATTCGGTTGTTTTCTCATTTATTTATATAATACGATAAAATCTGTACACTCATTTTCTTTTTAGTCATTTTTGTCGTATGCTTTTGCCTCATTATCGTAGTTTTATTGAAATATCGCTTGTTTATATGCAATTTTGAATGAGAGGAAAAAAAAATTTTTTAATAAATCAGTATTACAAAAATGGAAGACTGGAAAATGTATATAATAACAATTATATTAAAGGAAAAAAATCATTTATTTTATTTTTAAAAAATTTATTTTTCAAAGAAATCTTAAAATATATATTAGTTATTTTTTACTTTACATTGGAGTTTGATTCTATTATTAACAAACAGTTTTTTGGATAAATTTCTGTAAAAGAAATAAATGGAAGAGAAAACTTTAATTATATTAGTGTAAATATAAATTAGTTATAAATAATTGATAAATGCTTGTAGTTTTAAAAAAGTATATTTTTATTCGTAATACAATTTTTTTATCGATAATGAAGAACAGATCATTCCAGTCATTACATTCAAAGGACTGAAGTATCTCTTTTAGTCTGAATCTTTTTCTTCGACCTGTCCAGCGTACGGTGACCTTACGTAATTACATTATCGCCAGCATAGCTCTTAGGTTCATTAGAGTACTTTAACCGACCAAATGTCTTCGTTAAGGTGGACATACCATCGGAGAAATAAAATCTTTATTATAATTATTTCGGCACAGGTTTTTTGAGCAGTAATAAAATATAACAAAGTATAATATATAATTATATATATAAAAACATATAAAATACAATATAAAAAATATACATATACAATATGTTATAATTATTGATATGTTACACATGTAATTAATTATATATTTCATATTATATAATTATATACATTACAAATATATATTACAAGATATGCATAAAAGACGACTAATGTGCGTCACATATAAAATATTTGGAATTTGTGACAATGCTGTGTTGGGTGTACTTGGCTTTCCCTTCAGAATTAATAAACCTTTAAAAAACTATTTCCTTCCCATATTCTGAGTTCTTTCGCCAAAATTAGGTGTATCCGTTAGACGAATTATTATTAATTTTGTAATATAATATATAATTTAGAAATTTTTTTCTATATATTTTTTGCGTGAGAAATTAATTTAATTTTTTTCCTTGAAAAGAGATTCGATATGTTTTAAAATATTAATATAAATATATTATCATTATTAATGATAATAAATTAAAATTTAAACAATTATATAATTTAAAACAAGCATCGAGAGTGTCGACTAATTTTTTAAATTATAAAATATATTAAAAATATGAGAAGAATAAAATTACATAATATAAGTACCGTACGTTCAAAACATCAGAAATTAATTAATAGTAACTCAATCGATATTTACTCGTGATGCGAAATTATATTCAAACACGAGAAATGTATGAATTGTTAAAATAATTATTGTTTATAAATACGTCCCAACGGTAATTCAAAATCTCTAGCACTCCAATTTCTACTTCGGATGAATAAATGCGCGAAATATTTGGCAAATATCTCCAGCCTTCATACATTTGCGAATCTTTAATCGTGAAGTTAATTATTATTCATACAAGTTGAAAATTACTAATTATGATTTCTGATTTACTTAACAATTGGCTGTAATGTGTAAAATATTGTTTGTTTATAACAATATTATACCTAAACTTTTATAAAAATATTTGAAAGAATTGTTCTACTTGATTAATTAGAAAAAAAAAACGAATTACGAATGATCGTTGAGTAATTTATTCACGGATTAAGTAAGAATTCTTTCCATTTTAAGGAATAGAAAGGTGCATTTAAACTACGCGTATTGTTCGATAGAAACACTAGAAATTTATGTCGCTGTCAGCGGATTATTAAATAACATTCAAATGCGGTGCAAGCGCACGCCCGATGCATTCTGTCGCGCGTGACTATGTTCCTGACGTAACTATTCTTGTTGTTTCATTTCGTCGACGGCGACACACGCGCATTATTTCCGACGAAACGCATTTGGGACTACGAAATACCCGCGTCCGCGGGGACAATCTCCGTAATAGTCTTGAGCGAAATTAACATCTCGACGATGACAACGAGAACGATAACGTATGCACGCTACCTACTTACGTATTACCCAAGTACGCGTTACCACCCACATCTACGATTATGTAATAATCAACCGTGCCGTCTCCCGAATCTGCGCTTTCCAAATGGATGCAATCGCGCTCAATTATAATTGCGCTTCTACGACGAGAACCTTTATCAGGGTTTTATCGTTGCAGATCGCGCTGTTCTTTCAATTCTGAAAACAGCGTAAAATATACTGACTTAATATAAATAAAATATATTTAAATTTATGTTATTATATGATGATTTTAATTGTATTCTTTGTCTTAAAACAAGCAAGAAGTTGGAAGCCAAGGTGCTATTTAGATTCTACTTCATCATAGTTAAAGAAGTTTTAGTTTTTGATAATTTGTGAAGAAAAGTGTTGAATAGTTAATCTGATTCGTAAGAATTTAGAGGGAATAAAATGACCTACATATTTCTTTTTTTACAATACTTGTTAAATAAATAATTAATTTTATTTATCGGTTAAAAATAGTTTGTTAAATTAAAAACTAATTAATTAATAAAGAGAATGTTTTTAATGTGTGTCAGCATGAATTGAGTTAGAAAGCCGCATTTGATGTCAAATGCAGAATAAAGACCTATTGTGTTTATTATATATTTGTTCAATAAAAGCATTTCCATCCCCAGATTGTCATACTCTCCTTTTATTTTCTCGCTTCATCAAACATTGCACACAAGTCTAATAAAAAAAAATATTGAATATGCTTTTGCGTGGAAAACAGTTAAACTTTTCGATTTTATTGTTACTTTAATATACGTTTTGCAAAAGAGTGTATTTTGAAAATATATTTAATACATATACATATATGTGCACAGGGCACAGACACAAATGTATAAAGATTGAAAAATTATGTTTTTATTATATCAATGAATACGAGCTTTTTCAATTCACAATTCACACGTTAAATTAAACATGTAATAAATCTTCATAATACATTTTTGTTAATGCAGATTTTTTTGCAGTTTTATGCGGAAATATGCAAATCTCAAATTACAGGATATGTTTAATCTGTGCAAATGTAGCATGTAAAATTTAAAAAAATTTAACGCAATATAAAATTCGTATTATATGTATATACCTATATACATATGTATATATAAAATATCGATATTTTGTATGGAGAATGAATTAATTTAGAAATAATAATCACAGCTCACTTAAATTAATGCCTTAATGCGTAACGTCTCAAAATCGATTTGCATTGATTTGCTAAAATTATAAAAATAAATTATATACGAAATAGTAATGTTTTCCATCCCTCTCTTTCTATACAAATAACGTGTTTTGTGAAAACAAAAGAGTAATAGTTTATTAATAAAAATCTTGCATTTTATTTCGATAGAAAATGCATATCCACATAAATAGAAGATGCTTGTATTATTATAGTATGCCGCAATGTTGTGGTGTGGTGTAGTAATCTAAAGAAACTTTCAATGAACACGTGCAAAATTTTGTTGTGACCATACAAGAGCTCGGTTTCATCCAGATAATTCGCTCTCATTTCGGTAAATGTTCAGAAGTCTCAGGGAAGCGGAAATGCTCGTGAAATAGCAAACTTTTCTAGGAAGCTGAAAATTGGGTGAATGTTTACGAATATATACATTATTCACATTTCTATAATTTTGCGTGATTGTGTCAATCTGAAATTGTTAAATTTAGTGTTCGCTCGTCAATTTAATTTTGAATAGTTTTCAATGGATAATTCTACGACCACAATCGACGATTCTACATTACAAATTGCTAAATACTTTGATTTGAGATATTATCGTGATAAATATAAGATATTTTGACGTAAATGTTAAAAAATAGTCATTGAAAAAGCTTTACAATATCTTTTAATTAAGTATGAATAAAATTTAATATATATCTGTAATCTAATTTATTAATATATATAGCAAAATCATATCTACAAGCGCATTATTTTCATCCTGAAAATTGAGCAATTTTTAGAGAATGATATCATATTATATTTTTATTATGTACGGTTACATGGGGAGAACAAAGAAAAAAAAAGAAAGGTTTAATGGAATAAATTCCGAAAGAATATAAAACATAAAATAAATAATAATAACGAAACAATATAAATGATAGACAGTATCAATTTATATCGACGCGAATTCAATTTTTCAATTCACTTTGCTCTGTCATGACGTAGAACAACAACCTTTTTCATGAATACGTATTTATACGGGTGTTATACAGTACAATTAGCCATATTGTTCCTAGTAGCTAGAACTTCCTCTCTTCCTACTGTCTCTCTCTCTCTCTCTCTCTCTCTCTCTCTTCGCCTCTTTCACCACCATTCCATTCTCTCATCCCTCTCCTAAATCGAATGTACGATCGGATGGCATTGTTTGCATGCACTGCGATGGTACGAG